TAGCAGAGTATGCACCGCACCATCTGAATTTACTAATTTTTCCCCACACTTCACTATCGGAATACTGTACCATAAAATTGATTAATAACATACACTCCGATATGTAAATAATTAGTAGAACCAAACTCACACCATCTGATTGATTCACAAACATTCCATTTTATTGATTAAAACACGCGCATATGTGTGAGTCGAGTCCAGACTTGACTTTAGACCGAGTTTTTACCGAGCTTTCATAAAGACGGAGTCGAGTTGGGCGGGCTGGACTTTTAATATTCCGATTAATCTCTGATCAGCTTATACAATATCCGTTCGTAATAAGTTAGCGTAATTATTTAATAATTTAAAATAAACTTAAATTCGGACAATAAGTATAATGAAAATTTCTGCCGACCTCAATCGGTTAGAATATCAAGTAACTGTTAACGATATTATGTAAATAAATTATTACATATGAGTGCTGCCAAGGGAAAATGTTACTTCGGACTTTCAATTAGACCGGACACTTTCTATTTAATATATTAAGGATTGTGTCCGGTCAAAATGTAATTGAAAGTCCGCGAAGTGACATTTTCCCTTGGCAGCACTCGTCTATCTATATTTATATACTGATATATATGTGGGACAGAATTTTATTTTGAATTTATTAATAAAATTAAAATTTTAAGGTAGAATTTATATTTTACATAATAATTCTACACCTAGCCCTAAAATTTTTGCTAGATATACTAATCCAATTGGGTTATGATGCAAATTGATTTAATTACATAAATTATCCGTTATAACCTTAACACAATGTATTGAGGATCGTATATATACTGTATGGTTATATTCACCAGACCTTTCTACCAGTGCAATATCTTATCTTTAATTTCGACTAGTAAATAACACATAAGATAATTCAACAAGGGTATTTGGGCATAGGAGCGTTATTTACTTTTTCCAAGTTTGTACACAATTTTTGATTATGATCATAAATCACGCAACAATTTAGTAAAACAATAGCAAGAAAAGATGAATAAGTCAATAATAGATATGTGTGTACGTACGTACTAACGCAGGTGTTATGTATAGCAACAGCGACGGAAAATATGAACACGCGTATAAATGGTGAAACAAATTTTGAAGAATTTAGACCAAATGTATATGGAGAGGACGTACGTATATGAACAGGGACACAAAAAGGAGTTGCATATAATGATGGAATAGAAACGTAAATGTAATATCCTATACATAGTAAACAGGAATCGTTTCAAGTAGGGTTTGGAATGGGCGGGTTTGGGCGGGCATGAATAGAGCACATAAACCCAAAAAATATTTATAAACCCAAGTCTCGGTCCAAAAAAGAGACCTGAAGAATAGGCCCGATTGGGTTTAATTTAAAATTAAGCCCGGCCCAAAACCGGTCCAAACAGGCCCGCTTATTTATATAGGGGCTTTGCAGTAGAAAGGGCCTAAATGCTATATATAATATATATAGCATTTAAGCCTTTTCTACTGCAAAGACCCTATATATAAAATCTTAGCCCAAAAATAGTCAACTCATAACTGATGGATAACCAAATGATTCGTGAATATATGAATAACATTGTTATGTCACATGAAATTAAATCTTCTCCACTAGCACCAAGGCAAACCGATTCGGATTAAATGAAGATATCCTACACTTCATATAATTAGGATGTTCATTAATAAATTTCTATTATTAGGTATGACATTTTACAATAAATATTATCGTTATCACTATTACATTTTAAGTAAAAGCGTACTTATGTGGTGTCCGACTTGAATACAGAGAACACTTGCAGAATCGTCAAGAATGTGACATTTTTACAAGGATTTTACTGGGTTATTGGGCTTCGTTGGACTTGTTCAAAAAGCCCAAGCCCAGTCCATTATTTAGCGGGCCTAATCCAAGCCCGGCCCACAAAATATTGGGCTTGAAAATTAGGGCCAAGAAACCGGCCGGCCCATTCCGGACCCTAGTTTCAAATTAAGGCTGCAGTTGGAGATATCAATATATTACAGTATTAGAGTTAGGGCAATAGAGGTAATTGATAGGATGCATTTTGGTATGAATTTCACGTACCACGTATAAAATTGGAGATATGAAGATTATCCTACACTACGTTTGTGTTTCTAATTACACATCCCTACATAGAACTTCATTAAATCAACCTTGATAAATTTCATAAGTCCACCATTGACATGGGTATATGTACACACACTAGTAACAAAAGGTATAATCTGTGCAGATCTTTCCTTAATACTAATCTCGAAAAAGCTACAAGTCAAGCTACATAAATTATTATGTTTAACCTTATTAGGGAGAAGGAAGAGGAGTTAAAGCCTTTATTTGTTAATACTAATATTAATATAATTGCATGGTATACGCATTTATTATGATTTGCCGGATCATTAAATCAACATTACGGAGTTTCATCTTCTCGTTTTCCTCTTGCGATAAAATTCAAAATAAATAGTGATACCATTTTTAATTTCTTATACCATACAATGTATGAATTTTCTTATCCTATCATAATTATAATTTTGCTTATCTGCTTCATCATATTATTTCTAGCACAGAAAAAAAATCCGGAAGTAAATATATTCATTCATTTACTATAGCCGTATTTTTCAAATTTGTCGAAAAATAGCCACTAATGATTGTTGGCTCATAATTAATATTAGAAAAGTCATTTTCTAATATTCCAGGTCATATGTTTTACCATTGATTTTGGTTTGGACATAATATTTCTGCTGAGAAATAGTCGTGATGTTCGGACACTTTACATACCTAGGTAATTACGATCTTGCAACATAAAATTCGAAATTTCAAATCTCAACCTGATAAGTGATTCATCTTTAATATTTTGTAGCATGATATTTTTCATCGTGCCAATAGTCGTAAGAATGTTATTTGCGATATGCATCATTTGCCGAGAAATCTTCAAAAATACAGAATTTTATGAATGGTTTACAAAACACACAATAAATGCCGTAATCGTTTCACTTTTATCATTTGTCCACATAGAATGTTTAAGATTACTTGATGCGAGGGTCGCTGGATCTGATAAGTTGAATGCACCATTTTCCAAAGTGGCAAAGGGATTCATTCTTTGGGGTGTTATCTGTTTTTCTTTTATATGTGACATACCTCAATTAGTTATTCAGGTATACTTTTTTAAATTAATTATATTTTTATTTCAAGCATTATTGTGCTAATCACAATATTTATTTTTTTCCCTTAATAGATTATTTATCGATCTAATGTCATAAATTATGATATAATTCCATTTCTTACATTAATAATGAGTGTTATAACAATTTCTCAGAACGTAATGATTGTAATTTTCGATTTGATAAATGTTTTGAAGAACAAAAGTTCAAAATTAGAAAGCGGAAAGACTCGTAGCGTCGGCAACGGATCATCTAATATCCAACAACGACCTGATATTAATATTCATAGATGCTCTATAAAAATGGGATCTATTGAAGATGAAATAGAATCTTACGGTGATGATGAATTAAGAGAAGTGTTGTTAAGAAGAGTAAAAAGTTGTAATAATAATGTAGTTAAGCATTGTGCTGAATCAAGAGAAAGAAGAACAAAAAGTTGGGATCAATTAATTAGAATTAGTAGAGAGTTTAATAAAGAACAAGATTGTGCAGTCATCAAGAAGATTGAAAAAGAGAAAAGGGTCAGCATTATCGAAAATAGGAACACATTCGTGGAAGAAAAAGGAATTATTATTACTCTTGGAAACGTTGATGGATCTGAAAATAGTACTATTAAAGATGATAATACGTGTACCAGCATCATGGTCGAAGGAAATACAAAAAGAAATAATAGTTAATATAAATATTAAATACAATAGTAATTTTTTATTAAGTAAAAACATTATATTTTTAAACAAATCTGGTTCAGAGACTATTTCTTTGGGAAAATCTATCAGAACTAATCTAAACAAGTCAGTTCGGTAAATATAAAATTTCATCTTGTTCATGGTTTTCACTGGGCAACTTGTTAAAAAAAAGGTATATTCTTGGATTCGGGTTTCACTAGTTATCTAAACACTAGCCCTGAAGAAAAAAGGAATTTTCCCCATTAATCACAGAATTAACTAATGAAATTAATTCCGTGAAATAATTAGTCAAGTTTGACTGTTTAAGGCGCCTTATGTGCAGTATATACATTCAGACCTCTCTAAATGGGACTCCTAAATACAGTGACTCCCTAAACACAAACTTTGACCCAAATATAATATACTAGACCCTTCATAAATGCAATTTTTCTTATTGTTCTCTAAATGTAAGTTATCCCTGTGAGTTGCATTTAGGGAGGTCTGACTGTAATAATGTTAATAGTCACTTTAGATTATTTGATACTTTACTGCATATTAATTTGGGAGCCAATAATTAAAAATATTTTAAATTTTTACGTAAGTCAAATATATATGTATATTGCATCCTAAATGATGAAATAAAAAAAGTCATCTGTTTCATTTTGGGTTATTTTGGGTTATTTTAGCATAATTCTAGAATAGTCCTAGAATTTCGAGAAAATGAAAAAGAAAAAGAAAACTTTTATATCATTATAAAGTATTAACCAATCCTAGCTAACTACGAAATTTGCGATTATTGTATATCGATATCGATATCTGATATCATACATATATATCTGATATAAAACTGTAAAATGAATAAAAGCAAATTAAATATATTTAATAAATCAGATGACTCTAATATGCACAATCTTTTGAAAACGAGAAATTATTCCTGTATTCATAAATAATGAAAGATTAATAATGAAAAAAATACCGTAATTGTTATTTAAGAGTTTTAAAGATAACGGCTTGATCATTGTTATCGTAAGAATCTTTATATGTAGAATCATCAAGAACCTATCCGTATTTATACCGATCTTCGAAAAGTTATGCAGAATAATAGTACGTGCATCAATGTATGATCTCCTGTCTGATTAAATGTCAGAATGTATGCGGTTCTTTTTTATCTTGTCGTACGTACGTATTTCCCCGATCCTTTAGGTTTTAACTTTCGTCATCGCTTACAAAATTTAAAATGAATAAATTTATTGCATCACATGTCAATCCTTTCCGACTGTCTTCTGATTGTCTTGACCTAATTTTTTTACATTTTAAAAATGACAAAACATCTCTTTATTCCTTCATTCTGGTAAATCGTCATTTTTGCCGACTCGTTATTCCATTGCTTTGGAGTCATCCATTTGAATGTGTGAGCAAAGAGAAAGCTCCTCTGATCATTCAAACTTACATTTCTTGTCTTTCTGATATCGAAAAAGAGCAATTGATTGCTGAAGACATCATATTTGCTAATTCTTCTCGTCCGTTATTTAATTATCCAAAATATTTGCAAAGTTATGAATCTCATCAAATTCGATTGGCTATAGAGAGATGGCTTCGGTCTCTTAGATCTAATACTAGAAATTTAGGCGAAAAAACACGTTTCACTTATCAACTTTTAGGAAATTTCATCTTTAGTAATTGTTATAATCTTAGAGAATTAACCTATCATTGGAACGAAGAGTTTAACACCATCAATTTATTGGACATTACGTCGTTCTCTGGTTTTCGACATGCCATTGGTTCTCTTAGAACGTTCAAGTTTGAATATTGTTGTCTTCCTACTCAAATTACCGGTAATTTATTTGTTGCTATATCTCAATGTACTCGTAATATTCATCATCTCTCGATTAATACTGAAAGCGATTTACGTACTGAAATCACAAAAGCAATATTACAATTTATACAATCTCAATCAAACATCAAAATCCTTTCGATTAACATGTATTCTGATGAAGATACAAAAACAAAAGCACTATATAAAGCAATCCAATTTCATTCTCATTCCCTAACTCATCTCAAGTTGGATGGTGTAAATGAATTTAATCAATTGTTGAAATTATTGATGAAATGTAAAAATTTACAAACTTTGGAATTAAGAGGATTTGATCCTGAAGATATTCCTGATCTTTTTGATTTGCCGATAACTTTTATTAATATTCGAGATCTATATTGCATGCCATGCATGCCTCTCAGACATGATATTAGTCCAACAAGTCAAATACATATAATTTCTCTTATTCAACTCCTAAAGATGAGCAATCAAAATCTTAAAACTTTTACTTTTCTGTCTAATGTCACACCTGAACTAATGAAAGCCATTGAACATCATTGTCCAAATCTTACGCATTTATCTATAGCTATATTAAGTGAACATTTTATAGATTTCTATTCTTTACTTTCAGGACTACCAAAACTTGAAACTCTCTCTTTAAAAATTTATCCTGAAACTTTAGTATCTTCAATTTTTTCAATTCAAGATTTTACAGACTCTATTCCACCAACATTAAAAAGTTTTGGCATTAATTTTCATATTCCTGTGGAAACTTTGGAAACCTTATTATCCAAGTTACAACGATGTAGTGCAAAGATCTCGATGTTAACTTTTTATAGTAGTCTTATGGTTACGGATGAATATTTAAGAATAATCACTCGCTACGCTCAAGATTGTGGTGGCCATTTTCGTGAATTTAGATATGTTACCTCAAGGCAAATTGGTTCGGAGTCATTTTCATCAGAAGAATTAAAAAAAGCAAAAGGTTCAATTCCTATAGTTGGTGTCGCGGAATCTTTTTATACCCCTTTTTATGGTAAGAATTATAACCTTTTACTTTAAATTGTCAGCATTCTGCATTGTTCATGCATATTTACGTATATTTGATGCGCAAATATATTGGATAATAGGCAGTTTTGATAATAATGATATATGAATCTTGCGAAAAAGAACGAATTGTGATTTTACATTATATAGAAAAAATTTAGGCATTCGAAATAGAATTTTTTTTGTAGAAATTTTTATAGAAAATATCAGATTATATATATGCCGTTATTATTTTACTGTCTTCATTCACCCTGCTTTTTGATTCCATTCGGGAAGTTATTTTTAAATAACGTTTGAAGACTTATTAGTAATTACTTATTTTTTTTTCTGAATTTATAAAACGCGAGCTCGATGAAAGCAAACAAATGCATTATAAATAAAAAATTTTTTTGATATAAAGAGTGTAAATGATTTTTAGTAGGGGTTCATATCAATGTTCTTAAGTCACGACAAAATATACTGAGTTTGCAAAGTGACGTAATTCGTGATTTAAACACAAACTGTTCAAACTGTTCCAATGCTTTTTTTCGTGATTTGATAATCTTATGAAATTGACGATTGATTCAATTTAATATCATATGATTATACATCAACCAATACGGTAAAAAAAAAAAATACTATTAGTTACATATTGTAAAATTGATTGGTTAACATGATAAAATTATGTTTCTGGTAAAATAATTATACTGTAGAAAAACAATTTATAATCTTGACTACCTATGGCTTCAACAGTTAGAGTGGTGAATTACTAATACCAGGTTACAAATTAATTTTGCAGAACCAATTTATATACTTGATTTGTGAATCAAAATTTTAAATTTAATTATCTGCTGCAAAGATATTTAGGAAATAGCAAAACATTTTAATCACCTGAAGAGGATTAATTCTGATATATTTTTTAGATAAAAAGGTTTGTTTATTTTTTTTTGGTATTAAAGCACCCTTTTTTAATTGGAGGATTTTATTATCATCTGCGCGTTATTTAGAGTACGCGCATGAGTGTTATTTTGAAAAAAATATAAAATTTTAAAAATTTTTTTATATAAAACAAACTAAGCAAACCCATTTTCAAGCTTCAATAAAGTTGTTCTTCAGTTGGGACAATTCTAATGGTGGTAAAATCATCAAAATCGGTCCAATAGTTCTCCCGTAATAGCTCTTCAAAATTTTAGAATCTTTGTTTATCTTAGCTTATATGATATGCAAACAAAGATAAACAAACGTTCGAAAATTTTGAAGAGCCATTGCAGGATATTTGCCACCATTAGATCTGAACAACTTTTATTAAAGCTTAAAAAGTAGGTTTACTTAATACCAAACCTAGTTACGGAGCATTTAACTATAAATAAGCATCTCTTACTATAGATGTGCGTTATTTTGAATCAATACATGTTATTTTTAGGCCATGTGCGTTATTACGCGAAAATATGGTAGTTCCAATAGATAGATATTCTAGTGGGCTTTTATATAGGTTTTATAAGAATACAACTAGTGAACTCGGATTTCACCCCAACATGATGATTAAACGCGGGTAGTATCTTAAAATTATATATAAGTATAGGCTAAATCGCAAACGTCTTTTATAAAAATGTCATTTAGTTTAACGCATGTGAAACTTATCACTAAATAATTTATATCACAGCACATCTCGTTTATAATTTATGTAATTCGAAGCCATCGAACTTTAATTAGCCACAGTAATGTAAATTTATACTGCAAAATGATATAATACATATTTACTTAACATTAATTAATTATATATAATTGTTGATTTACAATCTAGCGTTAACATATTCACTACTCATTTTCTTACTAATTACTTTCTTAAAATCTTGCTCATTGATGCCTCTTGCTTCAACAGCAGGATTATATCCTAATCTCTCTCTTGCATCTTGGACAGATTTTCCAAATCTTAAAAAATTAGGACGTTTATAAAGCGTAACAACAGCTGCCCCTCCAAGTCCAATATTGTGTTGAAGCGCATAACGTAAATTCGGAACTTGTCGATTTGCACACCACCCTCTCAGTTGCCAAACCTAAATAATCGTATGTTAACAGATTTCGAATGAATTCAAAAGATAATTATACAAAAGCAATCATACCAATTCAGTACATTGAGCTAATCCAGTGGCACCAAGTGGATGCCCCTTAGATATCAAACCACCTGAAGGATTAACAACATACTTTCCGCCATACGTAACATCACCCGCATCGATTAATTTATGAGCTTCTCCCGGTTTACAAAGACCAAGTGCATCGTAAGTTATAAGCTAGAGAATTAATACTGTCTATAATTAAATGTCGACTTAATGATAAATTCCCAGTAAAACATGAAAGCTCATACCTCATTGGCACTAAAACAATCATGAAGCTCTATGACTTGAACATCATCTGCAGTAATTCCAGCTTTCTCAAAAACATCTTTAGCAGCACGGCGAGTCATATCTGCTCCAGCTAATTCAATTGAATTTTTAGTATCGTATAATAATGGAGAATCCGTTGCCATTGATTGTGCAACTATTTCAATTGCTTGAGATTCAAGATTATTTTCAATAACAAAATTTTCTGAAGCTATAATAACAGCTCCTGATCCATCTGAAGTAGGACAACACTGAAGCTTTGTTAATGGACCAAAAATTGTCGGAGACGATTTAATTTGTTCAAGGGTATAGATGTCACGGAATTGAGAATATGGATATTTTGCACTATGACGGTGATTTTTTTCACTAATCTTTGCCATATGTTCAGCCGTAGCACCATATTTTTCGCAATATTCCAATCCAGCATTACCAAAAATTTGTGCTGTAATGGGTGAAGAGGTAATTCCACGTGTTTCTGACATTGAATTAATGGTAAGATCTAAATATAAAATACGTAATTACCTATTATGTAAAAAAAAATTATGGAACACAAAGAGTATTATTTTTTATTTTTACAAACCAATTGGGTTGGTACGATCATCCCATACGGATTTAAGAGGACCTTAATCATATATTAACTCCGAATTTAATACAATAATCGTTTAATACGTAGATATATATGTTACGAGTCAAATTGGTTAAACTTGGCCCGGGTCAAATTAATCAATTAAAAAACCCGGTCGCATCAACATAATTCTGGCCCGCACTAACCCTAAATTCTGCTGGGGTCATTTTGACCCGGGTCAAGTTTAACTAACCTAAAAACCAACTTGACTCGTAACAATATAATGTGATAATCACCAAAATACATTTGTTCAAATCCCAATGCAAGGACGCATTCCGCAGTTCCAGATTCAACAGTTTGGCGCGCTAAATACAAGGCAGTGGATCCAGTAGAACAATTATTATTTACATTACTGCAATCACCGCAAGATCAAAAGCAATATTCATAAAGTTGAATAAAAGTGATTATAAAAACATATATAAAATAAAATAAAATTCTACAGCTTACATTATCGGAATTTGTGTCATTCCAAGTTGATAAACAGCACGTTGACCACAAGTGCTTTCACCGAAACAATAACCAACAAATACTTGTTGAATTGAATCATAAGTAATATTTGCATCCAAAAGAGCTTTTACAGCAGCTTCACGTACTATGTCTAATATTCGAAATATTAACTTTGAATTTTAAACGAAATATTTCTACTCTGGTTAAATTGCGAACCTGGATAGTCAACTTGACCCCTCGGCTTTGTAAATTTCGTAATTCCAACACCAATTACATAAGACTTCCGTAATTTATGACTGCTCATTTTATAACTTTACAAATTACAAATACTGATTAATACTGATTTAGAACTGTGTGCTTTGTATATACTCTATACTACTAAAATCTCGAACTAATATAATTTTAGTATGTTTGGAGAAATATCTCCGTACGATGTTTGAAATTCGTTGGAAGTAATGTGTTAAATTCCAGGGGACCGTCCAAATAAGGAAATGATTCCGATATGGTTACATAACTGCTAAAGAAAATGTTTTATACGTTTTGCAATTTTTGAATCTGTGCCCGGTTATGCATGATTATGCATGATCTACTAATCAGATTTGAGGATCAGGTGTAACGT